GTGTTCTTATTTTTACAAGGGGGAAAAACGCTACACCATAACCAAACTGAAAAGTTTTCTTAAAATTTCAGGGATTTTTGCAGTCGATCGGCATGACGTCGTGAAGGACGGTCAGATTGGGAATTAATTCGATTCACGGAAGAAAGAAATGAAAAAGTTCCCACACTGTTCGACCGTGAGATATAATTAATCATTATACATTTCGATGATGAATGAGAACTGTCTTAAACATGCACTACTGAGAAAAAGGAACGTCACTGATATCCTACACTGCTAAAGCGTGGCTTATGTCCAGCATTGAACCTTATTGCGCAAGAGCCCGAAAAAGGGGGAATTCCCCACTGTCCACGACCCCCGTCCACCCACAGACAGATTGGTGGACGCAACGACGTCCGGGTAGAGTGCGCAACGAAGCGAGCCGTTTTCACGTGTTCAGGAAACATCGATTCCAAGGGTGCGGCGCCTGTTTGCAGAACTTGGAGTGGAGACCAGCGAGAATTTCTAGTTGGGCCGTTTTCTTCAACAGCGGCTTCGTCTCAGGCTTCAACTGTTTTTTAACTAGCTGACTTTGAAGCTGTAAGCGCAGTAATTAGTCTAATAGTGCCACAAAACATTACATAAGATGCTAAATAGCCAGGAATTACGGTAATCTAATTTATTTTGAACGCTTCAGGCCCACAATCGGGGATTGGTTTTGGGAGCGCAGGCTGAGACGGAGCCCAAGTCGAGTATTGGAAAACGGCCTTGGTCCGCAGGTGCTGGTAATCTGTCGTGAACGAGCCGCGCCCGGGCCCCGCGGGCGCCCGCGGGCATGTACAATGTACTGTTTGTGTACCGTAGATACTACCTGGTAGAGCTGATCAGAGACTGTAATCGGGTTGAATTTTCTCACTTCATCTAAGAACGTCAACAGACACCATGTCACTTTCAAATTCAGAGATGACTGCATTTACTTCGATCTTTGTCCTCTTTTGGGTGAGTGGTTGGTTGAGTATTTAATTTTGATTGGACAAATTTCGACATCACAATCTGACTTGTCTGACACTGTGACAGAAAAGGGTGATACATGTACCATGATGAAGCCGCTTAGGACTGAACAGTATGAAGACTCTACTCCGTACCGGGCGGAGTGCCTAAATAATACACGCAACCTACGTAGAACTTGGACAGAGTTCCATAAACGGACAACTCTTGATATCTCTGTGTACTAAACAATAAGACTTGTTGAAGTATTTTCGAAGTAAATGCTTCCAAAAGTTCTCTGTTATCACTTTCTGACGGCTGTTGTAACATTTTAAAGGAAACTTAGTGTTGTCTGCATGTGGCACTCATAGTCCTACCGAAAACTCTGTTAAGTGCAATCTTAAACCTTGTTTAAGATTGTTGTTCAAGGCTCTAGATTGCTCTCAACAACTCTAAGCCTAAGTCAATATAATTCAGTATACCGTGTGAGTGGTGACTTGGAGATCTTAGTGCAGCCAATTGTACATGTACCCAAGAACAGCCGTGGCAGTTAAACTTTTGTCAACTTTGTCACAGCCCCACATCTGTGTCTGTATCCATATCCTTGGCACAGATGTAACACAGACATCTTAGAAAAGTCATACTGTTTGCCACCGATTTATTGTGAAAAATTGAAAAAAATCATTGATTCCCACAGGCACTACCTGTTTCGTGGATGATTGTCTTGTCAGATGCGTCTGGCTTGTCGTCTGATGTGAATTCATCAGTGAGTGAACATGGTCGTGAAGAGAGAGCAGCGCAGGATTTCACAGAAGGTCCAAACGTAAGTTGCTTAGTGTTGTAAATTATAAGAAATTAGCTGAAAAAAGGCTTTTAAATTGTCAATATTTTTTCTTCAACGGAAATGAATTGTTTGAATTTTGGATAAAATTTTACAATTTTGAAGCCGCAAGCACACCCTGAGGTTATTATAATATAATGTAAATTACGGCATTTTTGACGGACAGCACTCCGTGCAATGCACATGGTCAAAACAGGAATCAGGCTCAACTCAGAATGGAAATTGTCAGAACAATCATACCGACATGTACATGCTGTAAGATAGAATGTGAATTCATTCACTTGAAGTAGTATATTCAGTGTTAACACTTCACCTAGAGACTAGACTTCATATTGTGCTTAAAGTTTTGAAATCATCTTGCTATGTAATTTGTCCAGAAGGCAATGTTGCTTGTTACTCAGACTTGCAATTTATGCAGTTGTAGGTCTTTAGATGTGTATATACAGTTACTTTAAACTGAGTTGCAACAAAATTTGTTCCTATCGCAAGGTTGTCTCAAATTTCTTAATAATCCCACAGCTATGGTACTATGCACGGTGTAGGTGAACTGTTTCCTTTCTCCATGTTTTGATCTGTAGCTTTGTACAAAGTGTATTTGTATGTCATGGCTTTCAAGAAAGCTGCAAACAGACCTTGAGATTCTTCGCTTTTGTGCGCTTTGCTGTGGTGCTCAGTGAGGGATCGCGCTGGCTCCACAGGAAAGTGCCCATGTATATTTGTGGGCCTGTAGCCTTACAGATTAAAAGCATACTTGAATCAGGTCCGCATGTCTTAGTATATATTTTCTTATTTGTGCCACAAGATACATGTACGTCCTTTATGTTCTCTGTTTATGCTTACTGTGTAAATATTTCCAGTACATGTAGGTTCAATCAACATGTCATATGACAGGATTACGTGTACATCCTTGGACAGGTACATGTATGAACATTGGAATTAGGATCATTGGAATGTGCATTGTGTAATATATTCCTTTTAATTTCTTGGTTTCATTTTTTCCCTTCCTCTAATAACTGGAATATCCGGACATCACTTGACACCCTGTACGCTGACCCTATGAGACTGTTAAGTGTTTTCTTAATGCTTCAGTTTTTTTCTACAAAATTGGACATTTTAAGACATGGCATTGCTAGTTTCGAAGGCTAACAAACAACTACAGGGCACAATAAGTAATGTCCGTATATGGAACAGCAATCTTTCATTGATTTTGTTCTTAACCCTAACACTGCTCAGTCCTCCAACAGGTGAAGGATTGAGAAGGGTTAGGGTTAATGAACGTTTCCCACTGATTTCCATGTACTGTACATGTACATGCGGAGCATGAAATCCCAGTCAGCCATCAGTTTTGAAGACTTACATGCTGTATTCGGCTGGCCAAAATTGGATGTGCTCAAACAATTAGGATTGTTGCAAAGAAAAGGTAGAAGTTGATAATGGCAGAACAAATTTCCATGTGTGCTTTAATTGACATTTTATCAAATTACCTGTTGAGATGTCAAGTCTAATTTCATGCCATGTGCATGGTAACATGACATAGTGTCAAGCATGATATACTTGGAGTTGGATAGCATGTACTGTTCTTCCCTCCATGATTACATGACCATCTCGTCCATTCCGTATTTTCAGTGGCATGATTTGAAAATGTAATTTTTGGTTCTCATAGTGCCATGGAATCATTTTTAGTTGGTAGAGTTGACGTTTGGGTGCCACAGAAGAAAAACCTTGAATTTACCTGTCTTTTAACATTTCTTAATGAATAGATTTCCCCTTGATTTCCTAGGGTAAGTAATTATGTTTCTTGGTGATGTTGTGTCAATTGGTGATAAGTACATGTAGTGTATAGCACAGTGCTCTTTTCACATTTATTTACTGTACATATTCATGTATCTGATTGATCTTGTGAATTGTTAACCTCATGTTGATAAGTTCTTTTTTACAAGCGAGAACATATTCAATGCAGGTTTTTTCATGCATAAGTTCAGTGTAAGCAGTGTACAATACATGCCTGTGTGTGTCTCATTATGTAAAAATAAAAAATTTGAAGGGTCACAACAATTTCTTGGAATCTGGAACAAGCACAAATGTGATTTTGCAACATCAACAAATATACCTTATATCATAAAGAGTTTGTTTGATTTGCCCTTTAGCACCTTTCAGCTTTGTAGGTTATATGCAGTGCAGTGTCTCATTGGTTTGGTTCTCTGGTGCTCTGTGTACATGTATGCTGTACGTTTAAGTTTAGAAATCATAGGAAGTAAACGTGTGATTTTGCAACTTTTGTGTTTGTGTATATATGCATCCATCATGTATTTACCCATGCGTGTCCTTTGATTCAAAGAGCTGTTTCATCCCTCTTGCCTGCTTTGCCTGCATGAATAAAAAAAAATTGTTAGTAACATATACCTACATGTAGCCCCTTTGATGCACAATATGTCGTGAAACTTGGAATTTTGTACTGTTTGTCAAAATGTAATAAAAGAAAGTTGATAGAATTCAAACATCTCCATCCTTGGAGTCAGAAATGAGAAATTGGGTTGCAAGTCCATATTATGATCTGATATCTTGTCTTTACCATTGAAGTATTATACATTTAAATGTACATGTAATTGCACTAACATTCCTTCCGTTTTAATGGATGCCCTACCACCTGAAATTTACTTGTAAAGTCACGTGACAAATGTCTCATGACAAGTGTACAATTTTACATTGATCAGACTTTATGGTTTAATATTCATGTTAGTATGCCAAACCATGGAGGTGGCCAAACTAAGTAGGAAAAAAAAACTTGACACTTGCATTGTACACTGTGAACAACATGGTGAAAAAGGTTTGGTGTACATTCCACACACCCATTTTTTTTTTAACAGGGCTTATGCATGTAAAGCTATAGGCTGTTTGATTGACCCCTGTGACAACCTCATTGATATGACTGTACTGTAGCACCGGCGGGTCCGGCCGGTGGGGGCACCAGCTCGGACCCGCATGGAGTTGGCTGGCTGCCCGCGCTGGTTGCGAACGGCCTGCGGTTTTCCCGCCTCGCGCCTGCGCAGTCCCTGCCAGCAGGCGCCATGTAGGATTTGAGCTAAAAAGACGGATCATTTGTGGATGAGAGATTAAAGCAGATTTCCTGACAAAAATAGCGAGTTGCGGCTGAGTGTCGTTCTTTACAGCGTCGAACCCTATTCAGTGGGACACGCTACAGTACAGTATGTGCCTGCTGTGCATTGTCCATGTACCCAAGTGTACATGTTCCTCTCTTGTCTAACCTTTCTTTTCTTCCTGGTTTAGCATGGTGCACATCTTTATTTAGCATGGTTGCCATGGTTACATTTTACAGTAAGATTTACTAAAGGTACGGTAACAGTTACATGGATGTGCTGTGAATATGTAAGCTAAAGTGTTCCTGTGTGAATAATTCAGACAGGAACACTTAAGCTAATATTTATTCACACATATGGCATAAGGAAAACAATATTTAGAGCAAAAGCACAAAATAGAAAGCAACCTGTAGTCACTGTGTTAATATGTTGTGTTCATATTTTACTTGATATTGCTATGAATAAAACAAAGATGTCTGAATTAAACTATACAGAATTGGGGATAACTGAATGTGTATGAAGGAAGACTCAAAATTGAAAGTACTTCACTCAGCTACGGGTAACAAAGGCTTTTCTTGGTGAATATTTTAAGTGGTCAGGTGGTGCTTAAAGTTTGGATTAAAATTTGATGATTTATTCTTTAATATCATGAAGGGGGAGCTCTGCATCTTATTCAGACAAGAGCATGATCTATACTATGATCATATTGATGGAGACGGAAGAGAGTGTAGGTGCGAAGCTTGCCGGCCAGGAAGAATTCTGTCTCAGAATTGCACCTGTGATCCTCTTTCACCAGAGTATCAAATCCCAGTGTAAGTTCCATGTTTAAATGTATAGAATATAGGCTGTCTGCCTGAACGAGCAGGCATTGATAATGGGGAAATGTCGGACATTTGCAATGCAAAGCGCCACCAAGAGATTGCTACAGAGAGACCTTTTTTCAAGTTTGCAATCAACAAAAGCGTGGCTACCTTGCTGCAATTTGCATTTGAACATACATACTTGGGCAAATTTTTGATAGACTGGGACATATATGCGACAGAAAGAAGAAAGGATTCATTTAAACTGATACTTGAAATGATCTTCCCCGACAGACAAACAGTTTGTAGTTAGTGGAATTTGTGGACCATTTTTCAAAGTACACTGAGAAAATTTCCCACTCTGTGGCAAGCTCTTGGTGGCGTACTGCAGTATCTTGAATAGACCGTATTCGCTGCGTCCCCAATTTCAGTCGTATTCCTGAACGTACCGTATAAATTTGAAACCCTTAATGGGATGGTACCAGGTAAAACTGTAGAATATATAGTCGGGCTCTTTGAATTTAACGTTTTCAAATAAATACACTGCGTTTGGGAACACAACTAAAATTGGGGACGCCGTGAATACGGTCTATTGCTTGTATTGTGAGCAAGGGGGAAATGGAGACTCCTCCCTCAAGTCAGTGAACTTTTCATCCCTCTATTTATACTGTAGCTGCACTTTGGTAGAGAAAGGAAAGCAGAGAATGCCCTATGTCAACATATGCTCTCGAGGCTTTGACTGTAAAAGTTGTGATGATCCATGGACTGTTGTAAGTTTTATTTCCTGTGTTACTTTTAAGGGATTCGATTGCAAGTTTTTGTCAGTATATTTACAAATTGTCATCAACTGTCTTTTCGTTTTGCTCTTGGTGTACAACAATTTAGAAAAGTGAATGTGATCCCTCTGGATATGATGACACAGAGTGTGAGTGCGTCAAGCAAGGCTTCTATCAACCTGACCGAGAGCACTGTCTCCCCATTCCTCGTTGTGATAAGGGATGTGAGGCTGTCCCGGGACGTAAGGCTTTTAAGTGTTTAGACATTAATTTTGGACAAATGGGCTAAGATTTTTTTTTACGTATGCATGTAGTACCTAGAGTTCTCAAGACTGAAAATTGGAAATGCTCATTGAATCTTCCAGCAGTTTTGGAAAGTAATCAGTAGACTGCTCCCAATGCACATGTAAGCCGGCCCCCGAGGGGTTGGTTGAAGGCTGTAAAATGAGCAAAGATTATGCAGACATGAATGTGGTTGCATAGGACTTATGATGTTTAATTGTTGGCTGCTCAATGATGAAACACAGCCAAGGTGAACAAAGGAGTGAAGTGCACTTCCTGCTGGGTGTTATGTCTTAACCAATCAGAAGGGAGTGACCATGGTAACTGGCCATCCCTCAGCTGATCGGTTGTGTAGGCAGTGTTCTAAGAAAAAGAAGCTTGTAATTTTTTAGGGGGGGGGGAAATTTTTTCCTTCATTTCTCTTGGAGGGGCACTACACATATTTTAATTTGTTTGTGTTATAAGATGGTGAGTTTGGCTCAGAAATCAGATGCCAGCAGTGCTCTGAGGGATATCACCAGCCCCATGATGATTCATCTGACAAGTGTCGCAGAACCAGGGTGTGCACAGTACGGGAAGGGACAATATATGCTGATGCCATTTGCTTGAATGACCCTGAAGTAGGTATGGCGACAGGCCATCCAGACACTATTACTGGTGAGGACCTCGAGTTTTCTGCCTTGTGGAAAAATCTGCTAAAGTTGCAGATTTGGGGGGTACAAAGCGGAAAACGCAATTCTCGGTAAAAAAAAAATAAAACAAATAAATATTTTTGATCATTTCTGCACAATTAATCAAATAAATATGAACCCAAATTAGGAACGACAACTCATTTTCACTGTTTAACTCACTTTGAAAGTAACATTTGGTAGCGTTTCCCCTCCTGTTTTTGCTTTGCGATATCGCAGAATTCAGTATTGATTTCCTCCGGCTCCGCACCGCGGAGATCACACGGGTCCCCGTTCCCTACATAGTGCCCAGACATCTCACGGCTTATGAATAAATCAATAGGGACGGGGACCAGTCACAGATCACAGTGGCATGGTGCGTGTAGACCCTACATGCATCATTATGCCAAAGATGGGCTACCTGTAGATGTATGGTAAATGTAGGCCTACAGTACATATGTACAGTCACATACAGTTTTTGTACACAAAATTTAGAAAGTGGAAGAAAGCAGAATTTGACTTTCAGAAAGCAGAAAATTCTTGACTTTAGCCTAGGTGTTATTTCCATTCTTCTATGCTCCTGTCTGAGCCTTTGTCCTTGATCTTGAAACAACTTGTAAGCCTATATCTGCTCCAAGTGGAACAGAAGAGGGCGTGTTTTTTGGTACTCACTGCACATGCACGCCATGAGATGCCCAGGTATATGCATGTTTGACGCGGAGCACGCTGAGTACGTGTAACTAATTTATTCCGGCATTATGGTCTTTGCGTACACGCAGAATGCCTGCAGGAACTTGCTTGCAACCACCTGTCTTTCTTTTGCTGATTTGGGGTGGACTTCAGCTCGAGGCGGATAGGTTGATAATGAAAAGAAAACATTTCAGTCTTTGGTCTGTAGTATTCAGTTTGATGTTCAAGTATAGAGCCAAATATGTCTTTATTATTGAGTGAATAATTGCAGAGTTGGGGGGGGGTTAAAATCAGGTCAAACTGAAGAAGGAGATGTACCTGTAACCAATTAAGTATTGGAGAATCCCTGAGGTGCTCAGTAATTGGCATGTTCAGGGTTGGCTAGTTAGTTAAACGTTCCCCTGGAAGTTTGCTAAATGGAAAATACAGAGGCACTTTAAGGTACATTCATTGCACTAGCTTGATGTCACCCCAGTAATGGCTCAGCCTCATTCTTGCTAGCTGAGTCTTTTAATGTGTGTGCTAACTTTAATACCTAGTTTGGACTTGTGAACAAAAGATGTCCACAGGAAGACATTCTGTGGACTTACACACATCCACAGGACGCTTCCCCATCTCTGAAAAGAAGTTCAGAGGCATTTTGGGGTAGGGGTCATCTGTCGTAAAAGGAAGAGGAAAAGTCAAGAAAACCTTTTACAAAAAGCCAGCTGATGTCCTCATGATGCAGGACAGGAAGACATTCTGTGGACTTACACATGTCCACAGGACATTTCCCCTACTCTGAAAAAGAAGTTTAGAGGCATTTAGGGGTAGGGGTCATCTGTTGTAAAAGGAAGAGGAGTAGTCAAGGAAACCTTGTACAAAAAGCCAGCTGAAAATCCTGTTCCCAGTTCAAGAAAAGAAGAATTTTCACTGATTTTTGTTAACTGCATGGAAAGAAAGGAATGTCCACACTAGGTATGTGAGGTAAGAGTGTGTGACTTTGTGTGTATAGGAATGTAATTACCTTGCATTTTTAAAATTTCTCTTTGCAGGTGCTAATCTTGAAGTGACAAATAAAGGGGGAGAGACTACTGTAAGACCTGAGGTGGATGTCACCAAAGCTGTTTCTGATGCTCCTACAACAGAGAGTGGGAATTTACCTTCCACTGAAGAGGCATCTAATAACAACACAGATCCTATACAGTGCCAAGACTGTGAAAAATGTGTGACTTTATATTTTAATCTAATCCATTCTCAAGAAATTATCTTTTTTTATAATAGTAATAACAATAATAATAACTTCCTATAGCATCACTTAAAAACTGAATTGTCAGTGGCACTTCACATAAAAAATATCAGTTAAAATACAATAAAAATGAGCAAAACATCACAACTACATGTAATATATCGTACACATTAAACCTCTGACAAAACATCCCAAATGCTTCATTAAAAGATGGGTCTTAAGTTTCGCTTTAAAATCAGTGAAAAGTGTAATTTTTCTGAATGACACAGGCAAGTCATTCCAGAGCCGAGGGGCACAGCCATTACACGCTCTATTTCCGTCACTGACTTTCTTTGGACGTTTCCATTCAAAAATTGGGGCTGAATTAGCTCTAGTTTGTCATTTAAACAGTGTAAGTGGGAGACTGAGATAAGCAGGTCCAGTGCCCCCAAACGGCTCGGAAAGTAAGTATTAAAAGTTTAAATTTAATCCGCTGCTGAACGAGGAGCCAGTATAGATGGTAAAGAATTGGTAAAATATGTTCGTTCTTCTTGGTTCCTGTTAACAATCTAGCTGCCTGATTTTGAAGCTTCTTGAGACGATTTCAGCAGATGTATTATTTTGCTTTCAGGATGAGACAGCAGCTAAATTAATGAGCATGATGAAATTTAAAGCTCTTCTTTTTTATCTGGAAGACAGAAGGAAGGGGATGGAGGGGGCAAGTTCCCTCCTCTGCCACTTTTTCACTGGTGTCTTATACTCCCTTTAATTATGTGCAGGTGCACCAGTTGGGGTTCAGTGTGTCACACACATAGCTGCATTTGTAGCGGGCATTGTTGTGTGTTGCCTTAAGCAAATTTGGAGCTGTCTGTGCAGCCTTTGGATCCGTCTCCGAAGCATCCGTAGGAGGGGTAAGTTAATCACTTCAATTCATCACAAGATGCATAAAATCGCAGGTTTATCTGGTCCGACTGATAACACTCATCGTCATATTGCTGCATGGCTAAAGTACTGACTGTAACTACCATGTGCAAGCAGCCCTGTGCAGTGATACCCAAGGAACATCAGTTAGGCCAGGAAAAAAGTCTCGGCTTTCTGGTCAGCGCACATGTTGCCATAGCCCTGCACATCAGCAAAACAAAACAAGTTTTTATTTGGTATAAAACGATGTCCAGAAGCTGCCAAACTTGCTTTATTGACTGGAATCCTGCAACTGCGTAATTTCAACATGCTTTTGATGAGGGTATGGTTACGTAATATGTATAGTAAAGGAGTCCCTCTAGTTCCCCATACATTTAGTTAGGCACTCTTGTTCATTTGACATCATTTCTGTATTATACATCTGGGAACTAGACAGATGAGGTGGTCCTGTGTCCTGTGTACATGTACAAGCTGAAAATGCTTTTAAGCAGTAAAAAGTGTATTTTAGTTTTGGTAGTGGCCGGCGTTACGTGCGCATACATTTGCGAGGGACATCATGCGTTTATGTATATCATTTCCAGGAAAAGAAGAGAGTGTAAAAAAACAAAGGCCATGTCGCCACACCGTTTTTAGAGCAAGCTCATAACCAGAAACCGGAGACTTTTTTGGCCTTATGTTAACCCTTCAAAAATCATCACCTGTACAAAAAAACAACAAACTTTTAACTTTAAGTTTCTTTCACAAAATCAGAAGGTTGAAAGTACTAGTAGTTGCCAACTGTGGCCTCAGTGAACATTTTTAATGATCCCTTAACTTACATGAATCATTTAACTTGTGTGAAACATTTTTCACAACCATCTCATGTTGGTATGCATCTGAATTAATTGGACTCCACATTGGCCACTAGTATCTGCTGTTATTCATTTAATGGAATGTAGGAATTTTCCTGAAATGTTCCTCTTTTAGAAACCGCTTTTAGTAGTTTAGATTTCTCTTTGGCTATAACTAACCTGTTTTTTTTTTTCACTAGGCTCATACGTGATTGCTCCACAACGATCAGTCAGTCTCGAAGGTAAGTTACCCAGCAAGCATGCTGAAGTGAATTTCTTACAATAATTGTTGCTGCATGTGTATGCTTCTTGTGCAATTGATCCTTAAAAAATGCTTTCCTTGATGAATGTTACTTGTTGCATCATTTGTTAATTATGTATCCTGATACAAATATACAGTGCATGGAAAATCAAATTCTGACTCAAGTCAGGTCATCAGCATTTGAATTCCAGATGATTTCTTGTTGCTGACCATTCCCAGCATTTTATGTTCATGGTGATCAGTTACCATTAGTAGGACTAAATTGCGTTCAGTGAAGCTCTCTCTGGTGACAAGGATTGATAGGCACTTCAATTTAACAATCGTGCCCATGTACAGGAGATTTATGATTTCTTTAGAAAGGGGCTAACTGGGATGAAAGTTGGGTGAGGAACGCCCTTCATGTTGTATGCATGGAAACTGGTGATTTAGCAGACACGGTAACCTTCACACATGAAGGTATTGTCATCAGGGCGTCTCCAATTCTAGGATTTTTAATCAACATTTAATTGATTTCAGGATTATTTAAACAGTCTCTTAAGAACTGGAAAATTCTGAGTTTACCATTAAGATGTGCTACATATAAAAGTCGATATAGACCATAAAAGAATGGGTATTTAAGGAGTGTACCATATACTGCTGTGGGGACCTTCAAAACCTTGTACTGGTAATTTGTGGAGATTTCATTTCCTCCAATCTTACCCCTATACTGATTTTGATTTTTCAATTACTGCGTAATCGTGTTATGAAGTCATTTGCTTGGGCAGTCTTAAATGTGTGTTTAAGCGCTCAGTCTCTTGAGCTTGTCTTAAATGTTAGTGTAAGACTGGCCAAGCATGTATTTATTCCCATTCAAAAATGTTTTTTTAGTCAGAGGGTCCAAAAAAGTCAGTATATGACTGATTTTCAACAATTTGTTTCGGAATTTGCTTTCATTTTCTTTGACATACCTGTCCATTTTATGGTATATCCCTTTTACAAGTTGTCCAATAGAATCCCCTTTTATGGATTTGGCACACCCGTAGGGAGCCGAACACACAGAAACTCTTGACCAATCAGAATCGTTTAAACTGTCACGTGACAGCATGGGCATTATCACTTCTCGGTGGGCATTATCAAATGTTAATATACAGTCAACTTGCACGTTGTTGAATAGGCAGACTGAGGTATTTATTTGTAAATAAATTACTTACTGATGTTTATGTAAATACAGCACCACCCATTAAAAGTTTCGATAAGGACAATAAAACAGGTATTCTCCTGCATACCAATCCTAGTTTCTTCAATACTCATTACAGAGGGTGGAGCCGGTAGAGCCGGTGGAGCCGGTGGAGCCGGTGGAGCTGCACGAAACAAGAAAAACAAAAAGGGTAAGGAAAGTAGGTCACTGTGTAAATTGAGATGTACACAGCTCAGTCTAAGGATAGACACAGAATCAGTGCTCTTGGTTGACGGCTGTTTGTCTTATTGTACATGTGTTGGGTAAAGGGAAAGTTTTCCATTCAATTTGTAAAGGGAATTAAGTATTTTGCTAAGTTTTGGCAGCAATAAAAAAGTGAATAATGCTCCGGTTTGGTACAAGTTGGGAGATATTTTACCGTGTAAAACAGTGACATTTTGAAATATCGGAATGAAAAGGCTCAGTTACAGAACAATAGTTTTAGATTTTTCTTCATTGACCATAACATCTTCATTCTCCTGTGAGTCCGGGGGAGGGGGGGAACACAGAACAATCACCATTGACCAATCAGAGACAAGACACATTGATGTCTTGCGGACCAAGAGCAGTTTCTGGAAGAGAAAGGGGAGAAGAGATGGGAATTTCTTTATGTAACTTTTTATGACCTTTCTGAGAGGTGATGCTAAATTTTGGGGCTTTTTACAAACAATTGGAAAAGGGAAGCTGATGTTTGATGTTCCTCCTGTTGCCTCTCTGCCATTATTTTCTAAAACTAAGAACAAATTTGCCACTTTTTGGGAGAGTGGTGTGGTACCCATTGGCCCAACCCTGGAACAACTTGTGGTGCTTCCATTCACAAATGTGTAAAGGGAAATTTTCTTCTAATTCTCGTGAAAGTAGTATCAACATATTGGCATTTGCTGATAGTAAATTGAAATGTTCCTTATCTCTCGTGTTACTGACATTGCTTGCACTGTTTTTTTGTCTTCCAAGGGAACACTCGAAAAAGATCAACATCAAGTAGCAAGAAAAAAGGAAGAAGCAGTGTCTCAAAACTTTGATGGAAGTCCAAAGAATTTTGCGACAATCTGAAGGACATTAAGCTCAACCATCAGTGATTTGATGTGAAAAGTTTGAGTTTTAAGGTGTTGACATTGCTACATTGGATCTGTGGCGAAAATATGCAACCCAGCTCACTCATTTATATACAATGTTTTTAAATGCACATTTAAAGCATATCATGAAATGATGAGCAAGAAAATGGTTCCTTTGATTTTTTCTCTGTGGTCCAATATTTTTAGTGGTGATTGAACCAATATTATGTCATTAAGAGACGTCATTTAGACTCTTTTTATCCTTGCTGATCAGATGAAATTTCAGATAATTTGGATTTTTATACTTTTTTTACACCAAATTGTGTGAGTAATAATTTATATGATGTCTAAAATAAAGTAGTTGGTATTCCAGAAGTTTTGTGTAGGAAATAATAAGAGCAAGAAACAACTAGCCTTAAAGTTTTTAAAACTGTTTATTCTCATGACACTTTAGACGGTAACACCTTGATACCAAGTTTTCTTGTTAAACAGTATCTAAAGTTGTGCTGTTTCAGTTTGTGTGTTTGTTTTAAATTGTAGCTTTTTGTGTACACATTTGAAATATTGTTTGATTAATTGCATTGTAGTTGTGAAACAGAGGTGGCAGTGATCGAAATCAGGGTTACTGCCCCCCCCCACTTCAGCACCATACCCTTTATTTTTCAAGCTTTACAAACCAAATAAGGGATAATGAATCCATTAATTGCAGCTACCTGGTTTCACATGGCATTATATCTTCACTTCCTATTGCCGTAAAAGTATTCTGCTGCCGAAGTTGTATTGAAATATTAATTTTTTTTTTCACATTTTTTTAGATACAGCAAAATCATAGTTTAGAGCAAGTGTATTGATTGTGATATGTATCAGTTATGAAAAACAATATTGGTCTAGTGATAGTTTGACAGTGTACGTGTTGAAGGCTGGGAGAGGATGTATTGGCTGAAATACATTTACTGATAATTAATTATTCATATTCCTTTTTATTTTTCCATTTTTTTGTTAAAAACATGTTTGAGTTGAAGATAAGTTTGTCTTAAAGACAGTGGCTCGTTGGTGGGGGTTAAATATTTAGCGTAAATATGGAGTCGCTCAGTAATTGGTGCTTTCTGGGTACTTTGCAACAAGTTGGAATTAAAAAATATAAATGTGTTTGGTTAACTGTCTGGTAAGCCATGAAATTAGACCAAAATATGAACGCTGCCATGTAATAAAGTGACATTTTAGAGCATTATGGAGAATAGTTGCGTCGCAGGCCTGCTTAAGTGAAGGCATTCTGAAAAACCCTGCGTCTTGGACGGCTAAATGCGGTCACTGTACTTTTGAATGTACTACTTAATATCAACTTCCCAGTCATTGGTTATTTCTACCGGTACTTTTTCTAATCGATTATTTGCTTGATAAACATTTCATTACGATTGAACTATTAAAAAACTATTTTGGTATGGCCAATTTCAATAAAGTTCTCACTCTCTCCAATGATATTTGTGCCCTGTACTTAAGTATGTCGACCCTCCCCCCACGACGCTCTCGTGAAATTTTGTGCTATGCTGTTCACCTCCAACAGAATTATACACTATCGTCTCTCTTCCGTTTTACTTGCTTAGCCATAAGCCTCACCCCCCCGGCCCCTAACCGACTGTTGGGGGAATTTTAAGAAATTTTTTGCACTTTAAAATTGGTGCTCGCACCTTCTTTGGAAGATGGGAATAGATGAGGCTATTGGACAATCGTTCAAGAAAAAAAACCTCTCAATTCCTCCCTTGACTAGAAGTGGTGGTGCCCACCGGCGGGTGAATCGTTGCGAAAAACAAAAGCTGGGATTTTCTGCTGAACTTTCAACCAATCACAATGAAGTATTGAAATCCCTCTCCGAAAACGAGGGCGCTGTGCTTAGCCCACGTCGACCCCCGGCATGACGTAGATAGAGTGTACTCGACGGGGAATTCCATTGCATTTTTGTAGGTGTCGTGTCCGAGAATGTACGTGTACTCCTAAAACTTTCTTGGGCAAGATCTCTTCTCATGACCGCCGACGGATTTTAGCTTCAAATTCCGCGAAGCAGACTTGCTAAGAGTAATTAACAAGATGAAGTTGTGTCAGATGCTGGTGGTTTGTACCGCGTTTACTTTTATGACTTTCCTATCCTAACTTGACAACGTTAGTTTTCATTTTTGTCCTTAATTATCGTGAACAGGAAATGCACCGGCGTGGGATGTTTCATAAACATTCCTACTTATTATTCACTTTACAATGTAATCTTAATGTTAGTCTTGCTGTGTTTGACGGTAGTTTGTGGACATGTAGGACAAAGTACCTGTGCAACAAAAGTATCTTCAATAACATTAGCCTCACGGGGGGTCAAGTAGCCCGGCCCCACCGTGTTCGACCGTGTGCCCCTGACGAGTAAACTTTTGATGTGTAAACTCTACATTTGCAGTTACAGAATAGTTGCATGAGTTTTCCTTTACATTTAGGACTTTAATTGATTGGGGAGTTTCATTTCATTTGCAGATAATATTTGTTGGAACTGTCGTTGGTGTGGCCATAGGTGACATGGATGAGAAGAACTCAAAGTACAAGAAGACTGCAAATGTTGTTCCACACCACCTGGAGCCCAGGAGTGTGGCACACCGCAGCACGTTTTTACATGGCCCAATGGTATTTCATGGTTAATCATACAATTTTAAGCCCACTGATTGATTTTTGAAAGGAGGATAAAAAAATTTCCTTTGCCATCAAATTAATGCATCAATAAAAATATTAATTCAAGCCCATCACCAATGTCATAATGTAGGTACAAATTTTATCTTAAGCCACACAAAGCTTTGAATATGTCATAATTTCTTGATTTGCAAAAATTCTTATTACATTTCTTTAAAGGGAGAGATATGCATCCTGGAAGATGGAGGCTTATTTGATCTGACATATGAGCATCAGGAGGGAGACATATGGTGTTGTTGCAATTTGTGCAAGTCAGGATATTATGTTCAGAACTTCTGCAAATGCAATGAAGGGTTAGGTGAAATACCACCTTTTGAGAAGGACACAAAGTGAGTATCTGTATAGGAGTATTTAAATGGGTTGGGAAAGTACAAGGGTGGGGAGGGAATGTAACTGAACGTTAAAGGATCTTGAGCATGGCTGTGCAACTTCACTGAATGTAAACATGCGATTCTGACGTGCCTTTTCTACAAAATGTCGCTATTTGGCAGGACGCTCAAGTTGAGTATTTTTTAGGCTTGTTAAAGATTTACTTGGAAGTAATCGTGTGTCTTCTTGCAGGTGTGTTCATGTAAGCCGAGGACAGTACATGCCAAAACACAACAATTGCACCCAGCCGTATACACGCTCCGAACGCTGCAATGCCCACCAGAGAATGGTATGTAAGCGGCAGACACAGTAATTTAACTGAGTCAACTTTGGAGTTGGTTTTTGTTCTTTTGTGCCGTGCATATCGCACTTAGTCTTAACTTGAGATGAATTTTGCGGGTTAGTATAACAATGGATGAAAAGGTGTCAATGCCTGTTTGTGGCCCACACAGTGTGATATGTGGGTACCATATTGCATTCTTGGGCCTAGTTCTGGTTATTGAATGTCTGTTGTCATGACAGATGTTTGCCATCATATTTTTCTGTATACTAGCACAGTTTCTGTTCATACTTCTTAGCACTTGATGCTGAGAAGTTGGGCGCAAGCAATTGATATGCCCCATCCCTCGATCTTTGGCGTGTGTGGTCCATCTTCATATTGCATGATTTTTTTATAATTTCATCAATAGCCAATCGCCTTTTATTTCTAATTCACAATTTTTTGGAAAGAATGTTTCAAAAAAGGGAGGTGAATTTTGGGATTCCATGCAGAATAGACCATGCAGAGTGATTGTGCAGATCGACTGATTGTGCCTAACAAACACACGTACAGTTGCACCATTTTGAAAGAGAACCGATGGGTTTTTGATCAACTTTAAGGTGTCCAATTTCACAGCAAGATCTGATCTAGTTTGTGAGTGTGAGGAGGGTTGGTTTAATCCGGACCCTTCAGGTGTTGGCAACATCCCCCTGACTTGTCGGCCTAAACCACTCTGCCCAGCTGGTCAGGAACCAGGAATGGGTAAGCTTTTGATAGTAGGATCTCCCTCATGCAGGTTTTACATTTTTTTTTTCGGATGAATAAAATTGTTCAAGAACACTCACTCCCATAAATTATATTTAATGGATTTTTTGACATAATTGAGTAAGTTTGATAAAACCGATTTAGCCGAATATTAGTTTGACTAACGCTGAGCGAGCACATGTACCACTCATCAATAGTGGTTGGACCAAATCTTATCAAGTTGAGACTATACCAGTTGGCGGTATCATGTGATTATCACCCACTGTACATAACAAAACTATATTCCAGGCAGCTGGACCTGCGCGTGCCATCATGACATTTGTAGCTGGTTCAATGAAATTTGTACCTCAACCAATTAACATACAGGTGCACTGTGTCAAAAATCAACTGCCAGTCAAAACGGGATAGTACAATTTTTGATTTTCATGTTTGCATCAAATAATCTGTGCAGTGTGATGTGTAATGCGCATAAAAACGCTTTCATGGTTATGTTTTTTGAGCAGATAAGCGTCGAGATCTGATTCAGTACACCTGCCAGCCTTGTCCTGAGGGCCACTTCAAAGCGGAAGACAATAGCTGGAAAAGCTGTGAACGCCACAGGCAATGCCTGACCCGACGTGGTACTGCCACCACAGATAATGAATGTCTGAATGATATCGCTGATGTGATGCAGCCCATCCTTCAAGAACCCTCATCAACTATTCAGAAACAAACACCAACTACCAACCCTGACATAAGTAAGTTTTCAGACTATTTAGAAATGCGTGTCTCTTGATGTGCAGTTAGGATAGTTAAATGTTATCAATCAAATACATCACTGGTCCTCCTTACAGGCTATGCAACAGACAGACCTACGGGGGTTCAAAGCTCTACATCTTCTGAAAGCGTCCCACAGGAAGATGAATTATCTAGTGCTCAAACTGAAGATGTGAACACGAAAACTACAACAGCAGAACCTGGTAAGTAGGTAAGGAAAGCCCCACCCCTGCTCTGAGACAAAAAGGGTGACATATAGGGAAATGATAAAAAATAACTTAAGTAAGTGCAGCACTACCATTGTGAACAATGTATGTCATATACAATGTTTCAGCATCATTTCCGATTGTCTGCAAAAACTTTATGAGACATTAAAAAAATCTCCGCCCTAACACCCCCCCCCAAAAAATCCTAAATCTGCCCCTGCACGTGTTGAAAAATTTGGGAAGATTTAATCCATGCAGGCAATGAAGTGAAAGTATGCTAATTTTGTTCGGGATATTCCTTGCAATTAGCGTCAATTGAAGGAAGTTGAAGTTATTCGGCCAATCACTAGCGTTATTGCTAGCTCACTACATTACAGGGAGAAATCAAGATTTCTTTTGGTTCAGTTCAAATGCCTACTGGCTTGTGACAGTTTAAAAAGTGTTACTTAAGGAAGTTGAAGTTATTCGGCCAATCACTAGCGTTATTGCTAGCTCACTATACTACAGGGAGAAATCAAGATTTCTTTTGGTTCAGTTCAAATGCCTACTGGCTTGTGACAGTTTAAAAAGTGTTACTTAAAGTCACAGTTTTAAGTTTTTGTTGGGGACAAAGCCATAAAGACTGCAATTTTGTTTTATCTTTTGCATAGAACAATGGCCTGGGAACCACACACTGGCATGTCATCCAGGACCCAGTGTCGCCCTTGGTGTATTTGTAGGTATTCTTGTAAGTGTAGCTGTATGTTTATGCGCATGTTATTTCTATAAAAAATGCAGAAGTTCACAAAAACCAAGGCTCTAGTACTCACCTCAGCTGTTGAAGAAATAGGTTTCAGTCTGTCAAAGTCGCTTTAATTTTTTATCTGTTAGCATGCTCAATTTTTGAGTTTCTGCGTAAGTCAAGCTATAATAAATGCACACATTTCATGTGAGTACAAATTTAAAGTGAATCTCAAACCTTAAACAAAACACTTAGTAATGGTGAAATTTGCCAGAGTTAAAATTTGTTCAGTTTTTATGAATTCCTGAAATAATTATGTGCCATATTGCCAAATTTCACACCTTGCTTCATGTTCAGTCTGGTACAGAAGAGAAGAAATTAAACTGACTCAAATTAATGCATGACTTGATTCACTGGCAAAGAAGAAAGGAGTCAACTTATTCATCCATAATTATAAATCCATCCCTTATCTGACAGTTGATCACAGTATGTCTGGTTAAGTGTCACGGTTTTGTATAGTGCTTTTTTGTTCATAAAGAACATAACATTTCATGTTTTTACTACTCTGACATCTTAATTAAATTAGTTGATACACCTAAAGTTGATTAACTCCTCTTCCCCCTCACCTACACCCCTCCCTCACACCCCTCCCTCACACCCCTCCCTCACACCCCTCCCTCACACCCCTCCCTCA